GATTGATTTATTTAGATTAAATATATAAATAAATAATATAATAAAATAACAATTGCACTATTATTTTAATTTCAAATTTTCATTTCAGTCCCCCTAAAAAAATTTTTTGACTCCGCCACTGACCCTACATGCATACATATAAATACAAGTATACATACATATACATACATATTATGTATAGCAAAATAAAGGATTGATATTCTCCAATTATAAATATATATACATTTGCATATATAAGTACATATATTTTTATATTACATATATTTTAAACTAAATCTATCTGCTTGTTTGAATAAACGGCATGGATATTCATGTGGGTTGTCTTTAACTAAATCTATTTCAGTGAGGGAAAAAAAAAAAAAAAAGAACTAATTTTTTTCAACTTCTTTCCCTTGTTTGTAAAGTCAAATTGGAAAGTTGTATCCATTTTTAGAAGTGAAAAGGGAAATAAAGACAATGTGGCAAGTGCTTTCGGTGGCAAATAAGTGTACACTTCCTCAAGTAAACAAATGGCAAACTAGTTAGCTACATCCAGTTGTTATTACCATGTTTTGACATGAAAAAACTAAATAAATAAATACACACTTTTAGGTTTCTTGGAATTGAACAACAATAACATTTTTTCACACGACTTTTCACATTGGAGAAATGAAACATATCACCTCAAATTCTGAGTTAAGATAAGTTAATGGCTTTGGGAGGTTAAAAAGTTTGAACTTCCTTTTCAAGAAAAAAAGAAATGCTGGACATGTTTTGATGCTCTAGAGGAATTTCAGGTCTATGAAATTTATCTGTCAGATGCTTTGAAAAGAGAATTGGCTCATCATCTCTTCACTTGTTTCTCTGAAAATTTCTAGGAATACCCATGTCTTTTGATGGTGATGACTGGTAAGATTCATGTGGCATGCATTCAGAAATACTTGGGAGTTGCAATTACATAAATATACATGCATGAATATGTTATTGGATACAATTATAGATACCCTCAGATTTTTATAAGATTTCATTCATTGTCTTTTGTTTTAAGAAGTGTCTTAAATCCGGTACTCAAACTAGTCAGACATCTGTAACTTCTTTTATGAACTCGTATAAGATCATTCGTACGAGTGTGTAAGATTCAGTTTGCTTTAGTGTAATATTTAAGAAATATACTCTAATACATGTAATATTAGTGTTACAGGAACGATGTTACAGGTACATAGTGTACGGCTGCCGGACTTAATACTTCTCTATTTTTTTTTTTTTTTAATCTGATATGATTTGTGCAAATGTGATAGTTTACCGGTAGGATTCTTTTATTATAATTTATCACATAGTTCTCCTGCATTATGTGTGTGCACATGTTTGGGAAAAAAAATCCTGCAATTTCAATGATCTTCTGAGGACTCTGATTCCTGGTGTGAAATCAGAAGACTATTGGATTACATTGTCAATAGTGAGGATTTATAGCCAGCACCGTCCCAAGGATAAGATTCAAAATTATTTTTTTTTTCTTTTTCTTTCCCTTTTGTGGGCTCTATCCATGTGCAGGGCAACAGGGAAACAAAGGAGTCTGAAACCTATTTCTATATCAAAACCGCTTAGGAGTACTCAAGGGAATCAGTTTGGAGAGATTTGTGATGTTGGGGTTATGATGGACCTGGGGCCCACTATATTTATTGGGCCCTTTGGTGGACCAAATTGGGGATGGAAGAAAGGCCCATCAATCTTATTAATGAGGTAATTGGACCAGATTTTGTGTGTCTATGCAAGAGATAGAATGAGAATCTTTCTCCATTTTGACTAGGATTATTAAATTGTGAATACAAAAAATCCATTGGAAAAAAAACAATAAGCCCCCTCTTCCCTTTTTTTTTTTTTTTTTTTTTTTTTCTTTTTTTGTACAAAAATAATTCCCCAAATTATTTTTTCAACTCTTGGGTTGGTCTAATGCCTAGGAGAGGGCTACCTTTACGTTTTACAATGTCCTTTGTATTGTGTTATTTTCACTCTACACAGTAGAAAGCGATCTATAGTTTTGTGTTACCAACCGGAAAACAAAAGAAATATATTGGATTGGATTGGATTGGATTCTTCTGATCAATTGGCACTGTCAATTTAGAAATGTGAAATGCATCGTCTATGACGAGCCGCTACGGATACCCTTTTCTGCTTAGTTTCTTCTTTCCAACTTTTGGCAATGTCATGTGCCACACTAATGGCATCTAAAGAAGCACCAGAAAGGCCTCTCCTTGTGAACCCAACAGCATAAAGACCAGCTTTGCCTTTCCAGCCATTTGGGAATGGATTCTTTGGGATTCCATCTCCAGAAAAGAAGTCATTTTCCTGTAAAAGGTAACCAAAAAAATCCCAAAACAATTTAGACCATTTATTCTAGAAATAACACCAATAAAGACAAAACATAACCACCATACCAACCTAACAATCTGATTGACTCAGATTCTTTACCCCCTTTTTTAAATAAAAAAAAAAAAATTGTCTAAATTCAAACTTCCTTGGTTAAAAAAATGGAAAAAAATAAAAGAGAAGAAACATAACGTAAGAAGAAAAACTAATAACTTCCATAACTGTCACATGGATTCCCATGATAGAAACTTCTGAATAGACTTACAATGTGAAATATTCCTACACATTAAAAAAGAAAAGAAAAAAGAAAAAAAAGCTCACCTTAAGCCATGAAGGAACATTGCTTCTATACCCAGTTGCCAGAATAACAGAATCAATCTCAAGAATTTTCCCATCAACAAGTTCAACTCTCCCTTCAGAAAATCTCTTGATTCCAGGGACCACTTTGATCTTCCCAGATCTTATTTTCTTGAGTGCACCAATGTCCAATACTGGGGTCTTCCCAGCACTGTTCTTGAGCTGTAAAGGACCTACTGATGGTCTTTTCAGACCAAATTTCTCAAGATTCCCAAGAACAAGCCTTGCAAGCATCAACAGTATCTTGTCCACAGCCCAAAGTGGAAGCCATTTCATCATCGATACCGCCAACTCGAATGTCGATTTCCCAAGAATTTCCCTCGGTAAGACATGAACCTGAGAAAAAACATCCAAAAACAGAGACTACCCTGTTTTAGTTTGGACTCAAGAAGCGAAAATATAGACGGTGTTTGGAGTTGTTCTTATTTTTATTTTTTACATTTTTTAAGAAAAAAATAAAAACGGAAAAGAAATAGCGTTTGACACAATTAAAGATAAAAAATAAAATTTTTTAATTTAGTATAAAATAAGAGAGAAATAAAAAATAATTTTTAATCGTTTTTTATTTTTTATTTTTATTTTCTCCTCTTTGAGAGACATTAATGAATTTTTTTATATTAAAAATAATCTTTTGATAAAACTATAAACGTATTTTTAAAAATAATTTATGTATGAGATTAAAAATGTTTTCATTTCTATTTTTATACAAAAAATAAAATTATTTTAAAATAAATTTTAAACGCACCCATAATATTTTCCTTCAACGAAAACAGAGAATACTCTGTTTAAAAAAACAAAACAGAGGAAAACAGAGTATTCTCTGCATGCAGTTCTGAACCGTCAGTTTAAAACTGCATTGAAAATAAGTTTCTACTTACTGAGCTTCGAACCACCATTGAAGGGCTGGCATTGTGATTGGAAAGATCAAGGGAGACTTCCATGCTCGAATTCCCGCACCCGACGACAAGTACTTTCTTCCCCCGGTAACTCTCGCCGGCTCTGTAGTCGCATGCGTGCATGACATGCCCTCCAAACTCCGCCAATCCTTCGAATTCGGGCACGACTTTCCCGGCATTCCCCCCGGTGGCCACGACGAGCCACCGGCACAAGTACTCGACCTCCGCGGTCTGGCCATTCGAGACGGTCTTGACACGCCACAACCTGAAGGTCTCATCGTACTTGGCAGACTGCACTGTTTCATTGAACAAAGGGTTTATGTCAAAATGTTTGGCGTAGGATTCTAAGTAGTCTATGAACTGGTACTTTGTGGGGTATTCCGGGAAGTTTTCGGGGAATGGGAAGCCGGGCAATTGACAGAATTGTTTTGGAAGGTGCAGCCTTAGGCGATCATAAGTCCTGTGTTGCCATAGGGAGGCAATGCAGTTTGCTCTTTCTAAGATGATGAAGGGAACGCCTACTTGTTTTAGGCCCGCCGCGACGGCGAGGCCCGATGGGCCGGACCCGACGATGACCGGCCCGTTAACCCAAATGCAGCGGCGAGGGAAGAGGTCATGGTGATCATGGTTGAAGGTTTGTTGTACCAGTGGTGGTGTGTTATGACAAGCGTGGTCTAACATGTTGGAGGGAATTCTTTTTCCTTTTTTTATTTTTTCTTTTTTGCGTCGTTTGAAATGACTAACAAAGTATTGAGAGGGACAGGGTTGTGAAGAAAAAATAGCGTGGTTGGGAAATTTGTGAAAATGTGAGTGAAAAAGAATATTGATGGAAATTAAAGGCCTTTTTTTTAAAAAAAAACTTGTTATTTGATGATGATCCAAGAAAGAAGCTAATGGGATGATATTTGGATGCTTTGAACTATGTGGGAAAAATGGGGTGAGAGGGAGTAGAAGAATAAATGTTTTTGTTTGAATTTGATGTGTGGAGGGGGAAAGAAGGGATGGAAGGGTTTAAATAAGGAGAGGCGTCTGACCATGAGAGCAGCATGTGATTGGGATTTCAAATTGATAGCTTAGAAAGAGAGGATTTTTTTTGTCTCCCTCAAATGATAAGCTGTGGCCGTCTTATTTTGTTAATATAATTACATAAATTAAATTATTTTTTAAGTCCCCAACCCACAGAAGTAACATCATATATATACACCATGATAATATATCTTACACATTGTTTAACAAATATTTAACAAAGTAGAAACGATATCCACAACCTTTTAGAAGATGGGTCTTTTTTGGGTCTTGGTTTCTGTAAATTCTCTTTCAACGTTTAGGCATAGAGATCACTATAGCCACTCGCAATACCAGCAAACCAGCTACCCATACTGTGTATCCTATATTTATTTGTACTTAGCAAATGGTTTCCAGTAAGGGTGTTTTCCCTTTTTTTTTTTTTTTTTTTTTTTTTTTTTTTTTTTATAAATTTTTGAGTACTTGGGCATGCACATGGTAGAGCCAGCTTCTTATCTTAAGTGGGGTTCCTACAATCTCTATAAATATCATGCTAAGTTAAACTCAGCTAGTGGATGTAATATATATATATATATATATATATATATATATGTATGTATGTATGTGTGTATGTATGTATGTATGTCTGTCACTCTTATGTGATCATAAACTATTGATTTACCTAGCATGCCGGTTAAATGCTTTTTAAGTAGGTTCATGTTATGAGTTAATTAATAACACTAAATTAGGCATGTTATATAGTAATATATATGTTACTCGTTGCAAGTAATATAAATAACATTTTCTTTTTCTAACCGGCCAATGCAGACCCCCTAGGTTGTTGAACTATACGTGCAAAGCCCTATAGGCCATGTTTGAAAATTGTGCTTGAGTATATACTTTTATCTTGATTTGTTTGTAATATCTACTCTAACGTGAAATTTCTTATAATCCAGGAACTTTAATAAATAATATGTGTTTTCCAAAAAAGAAAAAAAAAAGGAAAAAAAATAAAGCTTTACCATGCGGGGCTTAGTACTCTTTAATTAATATTGTGTGGTTAGCTAATTGATTGATTAATTTATTAGAGAGATTGTTCAATTGTAACAAATGAATGTAATTAAGGTTAGAATTAGTTAGAAGTGTCATTACAAGTCACTTATGATTATATGAGCTGGTGGTTTGTGATAGTCAGTTAGAATTCTAACAGTACTATTTAAGCATTTAGTTTGTACAGTTAATGTTGGAAATGTGTAAATATGTGTAAATATGGTCAGACAACATTCAACATTTTTTTTTAACGAATAAAAAAAATAAAATAAAAAGAAAACCTATCACCCTAATGAAGAAAACTTAGCAAACTGCAAGAAACTGAAAAATGACTACAAGCTTAATACGACAAAGTAGAGGTTTTTTTTATTTTTTTATTTTTTATTTTTATTTTTTTTTTACAAAAGTAGATAACAGCAACACGTTTTACGACCTAATATGACAAAGCATAGAACTTTTTTCTTTTACTTAATAATTACTAACATACTAAAACACAAAACGCACACACTAAAAGACCACTAACAAAAACGACCACTAAATCACACTAAAAGACAAAACCAAAGAAAATGAAAACATAAAATACAAATCACAAAAACGTACAAACGAAATCAAATCAGTAACAAAAACACACGACTAGAAACTAAAGAAAAATAAAGTGAAATTAAAATAAATAAATAAATAATGTACTTACCTCTTTGACTAATTATCTACTGATTATTCTTGTATGTCGCACCTCCCCAGTAACGGCGCCAAAATTTGATTACGTCCAAACGTGTACAAAAACAAGCGGTCAATTGTAGTATAGTTTGAACGGTCGATCCCACGAGGAGGTGTTAAATTGAACAAGAAATGACTAGTAAATAAAAAGCGTTAGAAAAGTAAGCAATGAAACAAAGAAAAAAAATGAGTGTTTTTTGATGATTTTTTGAACAATTTAAAATGGAGAAAATTCAATAATAAAAAGTGGTAAGGCATTGAGAATCCTCCATATGCTTTGTTCGCCTATTTGGATTTTGATTCATAAATTGACTCAATTGAAAGTTTCACATCCCAAACAATCAATCGGAAAATAAATATTTGAAGAACATATAAATTAAAAATGTATTCGAGTAAATAAAATTCTAACGTTTAGAACTAGTAAAAATTATCTTATGAGAAATCTAAAAGCAACAATATACCGTTGGCAATATTGCAGTAAAAGACTACTCATAAAATAATACCTATCAATATATAATATAATACAACAATCACATAAAAAGAGCTTGACTAGATTTATATAAAAGTTGATAATAAAATATATTGGTAAGAGGAAGAAATATGATGAAAGAAAATTATTTACTCAAATGTATAAAACTTACAAATCATTGGAGAATCAAAATCCAAACAAGTTCACTACACATATAGGATCATCTCTAGCCTCACTAAATACTCTAGCCTAACTTGCACATAATTCCCATAAAATTTTAAAAAGAAAATATGAGAATAAGAGCAAGAAGATGAGAGAATAAATGTAGAAACTTAGACTAAAATTCAACAACCTAAACACCTTGACATGACCCTATTTATAGAGTTTTTGGCCATGTCAAGAGTTGCAAACAGAAACAAGAAGAAAAGGAACGGTTTATCCAAATAAATTGGATTTACAAGGCTTCAATTTGGTGGTAAAGGCTGCTAATGGTGGAGAAAGGAAAACATCACAACGGAAACAAAACTGATGAAAAACCCCGCATGAACGGCTCGAACAGGTGAAGAAAACGCCACATGGCACTCTGTGATTCGTCCAAGGCTGAGCTTGGAAAACGCAGACAAAAATTAGCTTTGGACGTGACACGTGGCACGCTGTGATTCGTGGAGAGGAAGAGTGGCCGACAGGTACGACACGTGGCGCGAACTGATTGGGAGGCTGCTGCGACGTGGGACCCACGCGGAGAGGATTAAAGAACTGCCTGATGCACGCGTGCCCGGGAGAGAACCGTGCGCGCCAAACGCGTGTGCGCGAGGGAACAGGTGGAGCCCACGCCGAAGAGAGAGAGAGAGGCTGGCTTACGCGCTCGTGGCACCAACTTGCGACCTGGGCTTGGCGTGGACGAAACGCTCGCGCGACTGAGTGGGAAACGTGGGGGTTCGCCAGAAAATGCCATGTGGCTCGGCTTGTGGAGCGGCTCGAACGGCTTGGCTCGGCGGCGGCTGACTGACGGCTGGGCTTCATTTTCATTTTCTTTAGTTTTGACCCAAATGTCTTATTTCCCTACAAAACAAATTAAATTAAATTAAAATCAAATACTTCCATAAAATATTAATTCCACAAAAATATTTAATTAAAACTTAATTTATTTAGCAATTATGAACAATTTAAGTGCAAATTTGTGCACTTATCATGGACCCTGCTAATATAATATATTATTATTTAAATAAAAAATGAGATAGTAGAATTCACGTGTTAAACAGTGAATACAGAGTGACAAAAAGAGTGATGCTAACATTTCTTTATAAATAATCATTTGCTAAATGTAGAATAAATAATGAGTTTAAAAGGACTGGAGGCTCCTCCTCTTAGTAGATTAAACGTTTGATGGAAACTCATGAACCCAACAAGCGTATTTGAGAAAATAATTGAGTTGTGATCTTGTTAATTTGTCTCCTTGACGAAGATGGAGGGATCATTGTTTGAAGGAAGATTGTGGGGAGTAGAATGGATTTTACTTGCACTCTTGCAGATACAACATAGGAAAGATTGCCTTTGATTCAATTGTGGGGGAGACATTGATGATTAATTGTCTTTTTAATAAGCTCATTTTTATTTATATCTCTTTTCCCCCTCATAAGTGAGAAGGACAAACGAAAAGCTTAATGAAGCTCGAAATTAGAACATTAAAGTTTGATAAGCAGTGATTAATGAACTATAGCTAATTAAAATCTTATAATAGTACTAATCTATATAATTAGGAACCAAAAAAGAATCTTGGCAAAAGAACAAAAGAAGTCAAGTACCAAAAAGTTTATGTACCTTTTGGAAGATAGCCACAGGTGATGACCTAGAGAATACACATTGAGAGGGATAGATCAATGCCCACTATGTATATATAATTATGTATATATATATATATATATATATGTATTCTACAAGAAAGACCTACTAGTTTCTACTAATTACCAATTATTGTTATGTTGCATATAACATGTATATATGTTTGCCTAGTGTACGTACAGCAATGGAGCCTATCATTTTCAAACAACTTAATGGTCCATATGATCAAGAAGTAAAATGGATGAAACTTTTAGAAGGTTCACTAACTTGCTTGAAGAAGGATTACTTCTTTAAGGATTTTGTGGGTGATTTTGCAAGAGTGTCACTGTTTTATGCATGTTTAGCCAAGTCAATTACAAGCGAAGTTGACATGCCTCTGAGTTTGGGACAACTCAATTCATTGCTGCAAACTTGTTGCTCTAGTTTTAATTCTAGAATATTTTATTCTGTTTGACATACTTTAAGTCTAAAAGTTTTTTATTTAAAAAAAAAAATTGCTTGAAAGAAGGGCTCTAAATTTAGAATAAATGTAAAGCTACAGTGCATGACACGTCGCAGAAAAATTAATCCAATATGGTCCCAATTCCTCATGTTGTAC